AGGCATGCCGAGCGGGCCGCAGTGTCAACAACCAATCAGGATGGAGCACGGTGGCCAGAGATCGAGACGCGACCCGCGGTGACCCCCAGACTCTAATGATTTATAAACAGCACCAGGAAGTGTGTGCGTTTATGTGCGAATGTGGGTCCCACAAAGCCTGCAGCTATTTAAATGTGGAGATGAATTCTTATTTATTCGCACAGAAAAAGAGTGAATGTGAGGGCCCCAAGGGTAAGGTTCAAAACAATACTGGGAGAGAAAGAAAGAGAAACAGATGAATACAGATACACAAGAGAAAGTGGAAAAACAGAGAAAAGGGAATACGAAGGAATAAGGACGAGCTAGAGGAAGGGAAAGGAAAGGAAGTTTAAAGGGGAAAAACTGCACTCAGATCACGTAGGGTAAGGAGGTTAGAGGGGTGTAAACGACCCTCTTTTACGATCCTAAGGGGTGTGCACACACACACGCACACATCACACATATTCCTTCTCCCTACCCCCAACTCTGTGTGTGTGTGTTCTCATGCAATTTTAAATAGTCAGAATGTGTGAGTATAAAGAGTGGAGGGGCTGGGAGGCAGTGAATTATATATCACTATTGATTTGCACACACATACACACACACGCACACGCATCTTTACAAGCACACACACACACACACACGCTTTATTAGATTAGAGCTCAAACCCAAGAAACAGATAACAGCCTTTCTTTCTGATGCTGAAGGAAAGACTGTGTGCTTAAAGTACAGCCATCAAGGTAGAGCTACTTTTCACCAAAAGTTCAAATTTTCTTACACAAATACCAACAAATTACTTCAAGAAGGAGATTTTAGCATCTACTGAAGTCTGACGACCCTTCAACTGATGGAGGAAACAGTATTTAAGAACATTTGTGTAAAATGTGTACCATAAGGATGAAAACATGACAATTTCTTTACGTTTTCAGAATTTTGCAGTGATTTATTTAATAGTTTTCTTAATATGTGCAACTTTAAATATGAATCAGTATTCCAGCAGAAAATCTCAAATAAGGTCTATTAGCTAATGATATAGTTCTGCCCGAATGACGAAAGCCATTGAGGTTAAAAATATACAAAATGTATAGTTGAGATACAAAAGGAAAAATGAATTGGATCCTGGAATATACAAAAATCATTGTTTTCTATTGTGGCTTGCTGGTTATCATTACACTACATCTGTTCTGCGCTGAACACCGTCTCCTCACCCGCAGTTTGTCTTTTTCTTCTTTGCAATTTGTTCAACACAAACAGCTCTGCACCATGAAAATGCAAATTCTACTTGTTGTGGATGTAATTTACACAAGAAATAAATAAAAAAGGCGTTTTCCCTAAATGCATGCACAATAACTCATTAATGCAGCTAAACTCTGTCAACACATAGAGAGTATTTGCTGAGAGTCATTTCAGGAGCAGATCTGACTCGGTGTCCAGTTCCAGAAATATAAGGACAAATCAGGCTGGAAAACATTTAGCACCACAAATTGTTTTAGAAACTTTCCAGTCAGTGTATTATCTTGCTTGTCATTGTGCCTGGAGGGGTTACCCTGGAAAAACACACCTCTCTGAAATAATAATAAAAAAAGATCAATCAAAGCATTGATGCTGGGTCTTGGTTTGGTCTTTGCAATGTTTTTTTAAGTGCATTAAGTATATTATATTCACTTTATGCAACTTATCTGTGGGTTTTAAACAGGCACAAATCTTGGGTAGAGTTTGAGGAAATGTGATGATGGCAGTTCATCAGTGGTATAGAGCTGCACATAATGTCATATTGACTGTCAAGGTTTAAAAACAGAAGCGCTGACGTAATGTGATGTACGAAGTGAACGGCGGCATTCTGACTCAGCTAATACTGTTTCTGTTTTCTCTGAGGTCTTAACCGCTGATTATTGTTTTTCTTTGTTTCTGAAAGATTAAACACACTTAAAGAGAAAATAAAGGAAGTTACAAAAAGGAAGTTACAAGTTTATCCTAATTTATAAATTCCCTGTATGATTAACAAGCTACCACTGCGTGAAGCTGTATTACACCTCAACCTCGGTCTGATTTATGAACACGTTTTTTTTCGTTTGTGTGTTTAATTTTGATGCAGTCAACAACAAAGCTGGAAGAAAACCTGACTTTTGTAGTATTTGATGAGGACAGATCAAGAAAACACTGCCTGGCTCTGATCTTTAGCCAAATTATTGCATTTTGAATTAAAATGTCTGAAATATATTTTATTTTGGATTTCATTGACCTGAGGGATTAGAAACAAGGTGCATATTGACACAAAAAGAAAGTTAAATAGTGTTAAAATGAGATTTCGACTTCATAAGCTCTAAATCAAACATGTGGAAAAGACTGCAGCTCCACCCAGGAATAGTGATGATGACACATCAGGCTCCTCCCTCCACTTCCCCTGGCTCCTAAACCCCCAACTATCCAGCATTTTAATGCATCTATAGTCATGCTAATGGTCCCCTGAATTCAAAATAATTTCTCCTTTGTGTTGCTCTGCCGCTAAGCGCAGATAGAGGAGTGGTATCTCTCTTTTCCCCCTGCATACTGACAGAATATGATTCTGACAGAGTCCTGTCAGTCTCGCAGTGTGTCTTTCTATCACACTCATTCTGGGTGTCAGATGAAAGGAGGAAAGCAGTTCAGAGTGCTGACAGGGCATGTGGAAAGAAGAGAAAAGAGGAGGAAGAGAGGACGAGAAGGAGAAGAGAAGGACACACATTTTACATTATGAGTGGTTCCAACCTTTCTATTCATGCTGGTTGACCCCTCCATCAGCAGGTAATCGAGAGGAGAACGTCCTTTACTATAAAGGCTGGATGTTAAGTCACGCTCCGAGCAGAAAGGGGAGCACCTGATGTCACCACTGATGTCAGCCCGACTCAGGGAGAGATTGGGAAGGTGGCGGAGGTGAAAGCAAGGCTAGTGGCCGGGTTGAGGGGTGTATATATTGGACGGATATTACACAGAGGAGGCAGTCATAGAAGGGGCAATCCACGTATGTGTGTGTGAAAGTGTTAGTGAGCGGTGGGACGGGAGGGGGACAATATTGCTCTGCCAGTGCAGGTTATTGTAGAGAAAACATAAAACATAATCATCCATTAAAATGCAGCTTCACACTCTCCATCACGTCCACGATGGGGCTGCCGCTATAAACGTCGTGTGACTGTGAGCACACATTCACACGTGCGCTACACAACTATGATAAATCCAGCTTTAAAAAGCCAGAAGAGAGAGCAGGAAGGAGAGGCTTCTGTGGGGTTTGTGGCAGGTCACTTTATTTCCACCAGGATTTGTGAGTTCGGGCAACAAACTTAAAAGGGCTTCAGACTGCTCAGATTGTCATTTTTCTCAACAAATTTCTATTTTCTGATTAAATTAAACATGTCATGAACGATATATATTTACTTTACATGATTAAACAGTGGACCTTAACTCTTATGGTGACTATACCCACGTTTGAAATATTCAACTTTCTTTCATTTCCATTTACTTCTTAATTACACAAACATGACTGAGGAGAATGGATGCAGCTTAAAGCTGGTTCAGTTAAGTTCATATAAATGGTTCCTGTGACGAGAATTTAACTTTTCTTGTTGTACAAAACAGCAAAAAGAGACAAATAATAAGAAAGAAGATACAACATTGAGAAACATGGAGTCAAACAAGAACAGAATCTGGACTGCATTATTGTATGCCTGATATAGATTCCTTCAAGTAGAATGTGATTTGTTAAACACATTCACATTGCTTGTGAAAACAGTGAACATGATTCCTTCTTGCATCGTTTTGAGAACTCAGTATAGAGATTCATCTCGCCAACGAACAGATGGATTATACACTCACACAAAAGTCAAAACATCTGGGTTTCAAACTCAATTTACTGTTAGCCACATAGGCTAAATAGGTCTATTAATAAGAAACACAATGACAAAGTTACATAAGACAATTCATACATTAGCAACCACCAGTTGCTGGAAAATACAAAATACAGTAGAATAAGTTTCGATGTATTTAAAACAAGAAAACAGTGTATGAAACATTTATGTTGTTGCATCTTTCCATTATTTTCTTGTCTTTGAGTCATCAGAGCTACAGCTAACTCCTGAAAGCCTGGTGGATAAAATAGTTCATAACTTGCTGGCCTTGAAAAACATCATGGATTTGCATCATCTTCTTTAAGTGTCAGATGAAAACTGAAGCAAACTGCTCTTTGTTTCTGCAGACGTGAGTGATGAGCTCTCCCCGCTTGTAAAGACTCTAACCATCATTATCAGTTCTGAATGGCAATGCACTGAGGCCAAGTCTATATTTCATACTCATAACCACAATGGTGTCACAAAAACACACAAAACCGCGCAAAGACTCGTCTCCCCCAATACACTTATGCACACACACAACGCTCTCTGACACAGCGTTGCGCCATAAATCTCCACTTATTGAGGGTAAGTGAGCTTCAGACGGTTCTGTGTATAACTAGGCCCAGCCCGGTGGATCAGAATGGCTGGCAGCGAGCTTACATGTTTGTCATCTAAAAACTATTCACCCTCCACTTAGCCAAGAAAACAACACAAACAATAGACAGCCCGTTAACAATGTACCATTATCTGGAGCATGATGGGAGGAGGGGTGAGCACCAAGAAACATGGAGCGAGAAAAAGAGCGACGGCAAGCGGCAAGAAGGAAAGAATAAAGGCGGGGAGATGAGAGGGAAGATTGCAGAGAGACCAAACTGTTATTTAAACCAGGCGGCCACAAAAACATCACAATAAATAACTCGGCTGTTTAGTCTCCACCTCAGACACTGAAAGGGGGGAGATGGAGTAGAAACACGCGGGACAACGGAAGGAGGGAGGTGTGTACGGGCAGAATTAAAAGGATTTGGGAGGGATGGAGTGGTGGATGAGGAGCGGGAGGATAGAAAAAGGGATAAAAACACATTAAAGGATCACTGTGTGTTGTCAGACTCAAAGGAATAGCCAGTATCTGCTCTCCTCTTGACTAATGAAAGGAGCAGTCAAGCACCGAGAGGCGGCCTGGAAACGCACATGCACACACTCACAAACAAATTCAGCTCACTTCACATGACTGAGAGGATTTTGTGTAGCTTTTGAGCATTTCACTGACAAAGCCCCACCTTTCCTACATGTTAACATCCTACTTAATCGCACAGAAGCCTTTTCCTCATCCTCAGAGGAAGAAACAGCATGCAAACACCACCTTTTACAGCTCAGAGTGCTATCTCACTAGCCAAAGCAGTTGATGAGAGGAAAATAGTGCTAATGCAGCAAGGAAGCTGTTCTTTCCCAATTAAGCTAATAAAACACATGCTCCCCTCCTTTCTCTAAATGCCTAATAAGCCATAAACACAGCTGAACATTCATAATTCGGCCTAGTCCATAAAAAAAACAAGAGGGTGAGGTGCTGGGAAGAGGGCGCAGCAGCAGCCTCAGTGAGTTGTGGAGAGGAGGCACTTTCTCGACTAACAGAAATATTTAGTACATCTTGTGAAGGAGCAGAAGGTGGTGGATAAGAGGAGAAAGATGTTAAGATGAAGATGAGGAGGGTTCAGAGCTGTCCTACAAAAAAAAGAACATGCAGCATTTTTTCCCCTCCTTTTTCAACTTTCCCCCTCTGTGGAGGAGAGGCTGCGCATGCCGAATCCCTCCACATACATCGCCGTGCAAGGAACCACTTTTGTCACATTACAACAGCAAACTTCAAAGAGTTTTATTGGGATTTTATGTGATGGAACAACACAAAGTAGTCCTTGATTATGAAGTGGAAAGAAAAAAGATAAATGGTTTTAAAATTGAATCCCCCCTGTGTGCAATTTAACCTCAGTATAAATCCAGCTGTTCTTTGAAGACCTCATAGGGTTGTTAGAGAACATTAGTGAACAAACAGCATCATGCAGACCAAAGAACACAGCTGTATATAAAACATCAGTCCCTGGATGTGGAAAGCTGGTTGAGCCATGCTGCAATTGTAACTGCAGTAAAAAATGGTTAACAAAGTCCTAGCTCAAGAGGCTGGGTTAAAATGTTTGGCACTCCTTTCACATTTTAATTGGCAAATCCGTTTTTTTATTTCCTACCATTTTCACAATGATGCAATTCTTTGTGTTGGTCTTTCACAGGGTCAGCATTCTTTACAAAATAAAGGCCCATTTTTACCCAATCTATTAAATAAGTTTTTTTTAGAGCTGAAAACCCTGCGTGACCCCTCAAAAGCAGAATTATAAATAACTACTACATGTTTTACGATTAAATTAACTACAATTGTTCCACTGTTTGAAAATTAGATTTTAGAACAAAGAAAAACATGAAAGCATTACAATAAGAGAATGGATGCCTAACGACGACTTTAACAGCAACAGCAAAAGATCTTTGTACCATGTGTTGTGAACATTTTGTGCAAAAATATCCCTTTTAAATAATCTTTACCTTTAAAAACATGGTAAACTCTGCATTATTTTAGGCCAAAGTTGGCCTAAAATTTGGGCCAAAAAAGTCAAGTTCCAGAACTACATGTTGCAACTGTCACATGAAATCACAACAAAAGATGTTGATCTATTTTGATCGTTGCAACGTCACAAAAGGGGAACAGAGGCAAAAAAAGAGGAGAGACTTTCTTCTCCAGGTGGGAAAAAACATCCACAGTGAAAAGATGAGTCAGGTTGCGAAAAAGAGGAAGACGAATGAAATTTGATGGAGCGAGTTGAATGTATGTTCTAGGAACAAGGAAGATGAAAGCGTCTTCACTTCCGTACGTTTTCGTGTGAGTTTTGCAGCTTCTTGGATCGGTTCACAGGTTTCTCTCTGGGCTGGCTCTGATTTTCTCCTCCTGGGCAAGAGCAGTCGTAAACACAGCGTGGGATTTCTGTCAAGCACTTCTTAAAAAACACACTCACAGTTTTATTGACTAAATACTGGAGCACTGCTCTGGTGGGAGACAGAAAATTGGACTCGATGAAGAGTACCAAGGAACAGATTCAATGCATCTATTATCACCTTTAGTTGAATGAATAAACAGCATTGTTGAGGTTAAATGCTTTTCACATTTTTCATCTCTGACTAACGTGTCCGTCTGGTTTTGATAAAGAAAACACAAAGCACTTCATGAATAACCAAAGACTCTCTTCGCCTTCCTATTAACATAAATCAAGATATAGGATAGGCAACACACAGCCAGCTGTGAGCAAAAGAAACATAAAGTATCAGTAGTTTAGTGTAGCAGAGTTAGTAATTTGTTCTTTAAGGAGAAAGGCCTTTTCCTGTGTGTGCTCACTTCTATTGCTGACATAAATGCAAAGAAGATACAGGACATTTTTTACATCAAGCACATTAAAAGCTGAATTTTCATGTCATATTCAGTACCTTCCATGATTATTGACACCTACAAAAGCCTTAAAACTGTTGTTAAGAAGTCATTTATCAGCAGTTCTCTACCAGTGAGCCTTGGGGGAATTATAGCCTTGTTTGTCACAGATCCAGTTATAAACTGTAGGTATCATCAAGTTTAGGTGTAGCTATTTTTGTAGCCTTCTTCTGTCTTTTGAAGAATAACTCAAATCCACCTTACTTGAATTGCATGTTTTCTTCTCTTCATCATTTTGAAGAATAACAGAACTGATTTTCTGATCCCAGAAAAACAGAAATTCTGGAATTACTGAATTATCCTCCTGCAATAAAAGATTATGTTCAGGCTTTGTTCAAAAAGTATTTGATGAAACTGCATTAAATGTCCAGCCATATCATGCTACTAAATCATCATAGAGAAAGCATAACTTTGCAATGTATTTCACTGTTGGCTAATTGATGGTTAAATAATTTAAATAATCAGCTATCAACTGCAGATCCACATTTTTTTAGGAATCAAATTGTGATTGAAACAGCATCTATTTTATTCCTGTCTTCCTTTAATAGGCGTTTCTTGCTCCCTGTTAACAGTTAAATAACTGTAGAGCATTTAGGATTTATTAATCTAATGTATCCTAGAATGTATTACTGTACCCTTCAGGTGTATTACATAATAGAACAGAAATAAGTAGAGAACACCTAATTGATATAATTAATGCAAAATAGTACAGCAAAGGTAGAAATGTTTAATAATTTAGATGCCTAACAGTGCACATCTCATGCATGGATAGCAAGAAAACTGATGTAAAGGAAACTTTATGAATCATCTTTGCACCACTGTAATGTTAGGCTTTGTTTAAAATCTTTATAATTTAATATGCGATACCTGTGGGTTGAAATAACAGTTTCATTGTGTAAAGACTGTATGTTATTTTATAAATGTATAAAATTATTCTCATTTAAAACAGAAATGCATCAGTTGGTCCTGCTGCAGTTAAAATAACATATTGATTATTAAAAGCATTCAACTGTAATCTATAACATTTATGTGTTGATTTTGATATTGTTATGGATTGATACAATACATTACTTGGGCAAAATTAGTGATATAAACCATTTAAATCAAATGCTTCACATGAGTCTTTTGCAGTAATATTTTTGCAGTTCTGCTCTTCATAGTGTGACATAAGCATGTCAAGCTTATATCAGGTTAATCATCAGTCAGGTTCTCTGCTCCAGTCGAACCTCCAGTTGGCTCCTTAGACACGCTTGGTGTCGCTTCCAAACTCCTAAAACAGGAGTATTGGGTGGCATCAAAACAGTTTTTACAAAATGAATGACCATGTTTATGATGTCAGTTTGTCTTTCTTGGAAGTGAGGTTGAGCAACAAGCAAGCGAAGGACAATGGTTTGCCACTCAATTACTACCGTAATTATTTTTATTATTGAGAGCACCTGAAAATAAGATGCAACCACTAACTTCAGACACAGAAATATTTGTTTTACTTTGAATGAAATAAGTACTTATAACACAAACATGTGGCACAAATGCTGTTTCTGAACAGCGCCTGTGAAACAGTAATACCGTAACCTATATTGGCAAAAAAGTAAGTGGTTGTTATCTCTATCTTTCTCCTGTACATTAAAAGTCGACTTAAGAGTCAAAATTTAACAGCCTCACACACAATTCCTCCGTCTGTCTTTTGTTGTCGCTCTCAATGTCGGTCTCGTTCACCTTTGTGCTTCTGCTTTCCACTGCAGTCTGTTGAAACCCACATGGCAGTGTTCAAAACGTGTAAAAAAAAGTAGCAGAGAGGCGTCTGGAAATTACGGTATTTAAAATCTTGGTATATCTTAGTATCAGGGCCATAATATGCTGAATGTTGTTTACTAGGTCTTCGTTTGAAAAGGTATGGACTGACAGATGGATTTCTGTAATTTGAGAAACAGAACACTGGACGTGAAGTGAGTGAAGGACTATGTTAGACAATCATGCTTTTTGTGATTCTGTAATTAAATTCAGAATGAGAATGTCTAAAAAAGATTTTTGTTTACTTCCAGAGTATCATGAATTATTCAAATTAACTTATGCTGCATCGAAGTTGATTTTGTAACGCTGCTTTTTAATCCCTGTTTGCATTAGTGCACCATGACTTCTCTGTGAGCATATTAAAATGTTTATTCAATCGCAGACACATTTCAGAGTCGTCTGTTATGCTGAAGACGGAGTGTAAAAATAAATTAATCTAACAACAGCATTCTTGGGACAATGAGTTTCTTTAAATGTAGGTGCACATTAGCGTCTCCCAAGTATACGGCACTTTTTATGGTATTCTTGTACAACACACATTCTCACACACATACACAAGGGAGGAATGAAGTGTGTGTGTTTGTCTTTCCTGCTATTGTCAGACGGAGATTGATACCGCCTCTTTTTACTGACAGACGATTGTCGAAGCTTCCCGAACTAATTATAAAAAGCAACAACAATATCTCACACACCCTGTCTGCCCGCCTGTGTGTGAGTCCGTCTCTCTGTCGGCTCTGCAGTTGTCTGTAAAGTAAACCTTAAATAAAATCTCTAAGATGCCGATTCATATTTTACGTTGCATATATGTTCTCCAAAGTGACATTTTGTGCTAAATGAATAAGAATTTATATTGGAGAAAAACATATTTACTTAGAGATAACGAAGTAATAAAATTTCCTTCAAATCGAGAAGGAAGGAGTAAAGATCAGGAAAAAATGAGAGGGGGATGCAGTGGGAAAAGGCCAGACAGTGAACAGCTACACACACCAGTATGAACTCACCTCCTATTGTCTGAGTTTCTGGAAATAGGAAATGTCGCGCTGCATTTACACATACACAGACATAAAAGCTGTGAATGTTATAAATCAGCATGCTAAATGCTCGTTGTCGCGCTTTCAGGCACTGCAGCAGCTGTGTGTGTTTGTGTGAGATGAAAAAGTATTCATGGGCTGAATGTTTCTGAACAGGAAGTGGCAATGATCCACTTCCTGTTCGGATGGAAATCTCATCTGTTTCATGAGCTGCCCAGGGTGTTACCACTTGCAAACGCACACAAACAGGATCCCAAATATATGGAAGAACAAACACACACAGCAAAGACCACCACCCAATCTAATTCAGCATGTCCATTATTGTCACCTCTGCAGAGCCTCAAACTTTTTATCTTCAGGGAAGTTTGCTTTCTTTTCATAAATCACTGATAAATCATAAAACAGGTGGCATTCTTGTTCAGATAATCAAGCATAACTTAATTTGTACTTATTTATCTTTTTCAGCTGTCAAATCTTCAGTTAAACTCGTACATATTGATGTGCATCAGATTCTTTCAGTGTGACTTTTCCTTAAAATAATTTTGACTTCATAGAGGAGATGAGGCTGTAAATGCATCCAATGTATTTACTAGAACAAAGCAAAGGATCAAAATACCAAACCAGCTTTAAAAAAAAACTTCCTAGCCTGTAAATACAAAGCTAGTGGCCAAGTATGAGGATTTCAAAAAGTTGTTCTTTAAGTAATTTTTAAAATGAAAACTATTTGTAAAAGAAAAAGAAAAATGACTACAATAAATGACTGGAAACTATAAATTCATTAGGATCATGATATAATAGCAGAAAAGAAAAAACATAATCACACATTCAGTGCAGAAATCAATTTACTCTCACTTTACTCAACAATTATGATCAATGAAAGCTGATGTGACTTGCAAAAGTCACTGTAGAAGTCAGTTTTTAGGAGACTTCAGTCAAGCCGTAACTCCTGATTAGTTTGAAACTGTTGCTCTCATATATTTAAAACACAGCTGAACTGATAAAAAGATAAAATTATAACAAAAATGGAACAAACAGTTCATTACAACTGCTATTAAAACTAGTCTTGAGCTCTATGGATGGCATTATATAAGATTTCCCCCTTTTGTATGAGGAATTTAATATTTTTGGCAACTTTTAAAAGAAAAAAGAACAACCTGTGTTTACTACGACCACTACTCTGTTGCTCATGAGTACCAGACACAGCCAGCATACATTAAAGGGTGTGAAAAAAGCTGATGTCCTCATAAGTTCTTCTTTGGCGTAAAAATTATACCTTGTGATGATTAGCTTCACATTGGCACTAAGACTGAACTTAAAATTGCTTTGTGAAACAAAGGTTTCCTCCTTAAGGCTACATATTTTTACATGATTTGGCTTAAAATACACCGTCTTCCAGAGTAGAACTGCACTTGAAATAGCAAAGCAAACAGAAAAAGTCAGAGCAGCGTTTTATGAAGCCCTGGGAGAGAAACGGGCCATGCGATGGGAGGTGAAAAATGGCGCTGTTCCCCTTCCCAAATTAAATGCAGAAATACTTGAAATGATTTTTGGAACTTGCACAATGATGCATCCACCACAAACACAAAGTTACAAAAGTTCATAGTTGAAGCCATGATGACGAAATTTTCGGCTTACAAATCATCTCCGATTAGCACAGACGTCACTTTACATGGACATTTCACTTGAATTATTGCAAAGAAAGCTGCATACCGACACCTATATCAATCCTCTGTTATGACAAATTCTCAGTTTGAAGCTCGCCTGCTATCAGAGCCCTGATTCAAACTGCCACTTCCCTCCACCTCTGTACCATCTGACTCCTCCTCTCCTCCTGTTCAGATCATCTTTGTCAACTCTTTTCTGCAGGTATCCGCCACCTTTTTCTCGCTGTTATTCCTTCCCTGATGCTCTTCCTCCTGCACTCTTCTCATTAGTCAGTCATAAATCTCCAGAACTAACCCGGTAATTTAACCAATTAGCATCTCAGACATGAAGGTGGTGCCTAAATTATGACGGTACAGAATGGCGGCGCATGTAGCCTCGAATAGGCAAATTTACAACTTCTCGTTACATATTCAGGCAGCATAAATCAAGCGTTCCCAGCTGACAACCAGCCTTATGGGCAGGCATGGGTCGGGCTGGAAGGAGCAGTCTGAGGAGGCGAGTTAGTTAATCATCTGAAAATAAGACACATTACCCACATTCACATGGACACTCACACGCCGGTAGAGCAAACGTGTGTCCAAATACACACTTTATGCACTGCTGAAAAAAAAGAAAACTATTTGCTCCTCACAGATTTCTTTTTTTCTTTTGGTCACAGTTAAAAGTTTCAGGTTGTGAACTAGTTTTAACAGCAGCTGACTGGAAACAAAATACAGTTTTAAAATTGGTCAAAAATCTTATTTATTAAGGAAAACATACTCAAGTGTCTTGTTAACTTCAGTTTCACTAGATGCACTTCATCTGCGCAGTGAAGAAATCCCTTAAAAAGATCCTGTCTGATAACATGAAGTTGGCTAAAAATCTCAAAAAGTAACATCAAGAAATTGAACAACAAAGGAGAAACCAAACCACTGGCATCAACCTGTCTGGAAAGCGTTACATTTCTAGGGTTTTGGGACTCCCTCAGTCAGACCCTAAACAGGATGTTTATGCTTGAAACTCCTCCAGAGGGCAAAGAGTGTTGATTTAATACCTTAATCGATTAAATAATCAGTTAAAAGTTGATTTTGTTTTTACCCCTTTTCTTTTTCTGACCAAAATTTGCTTGATGAGCTGAAGCGTTAAAACACAAACAGAAACAGAAGAAACCTTTACTTCGTGTAACACTTCATGCATCTCAACTGAATGTTAACAAAATACACAAAACTATCCAGACAATTCCAAATGCCACCCATGATCTAAAACGACACGTGATAAAGTAAACCCAAATCTAAAAACAATGCCACGGTTGTTTAGTTTTGCCACCTCCTTCACCCCCCCGTCTCTTCCTCTAACTCCTCAAAACACACACTCGTGCCTAAATGAGTGTTTCCGTGTGTTGATGGGAGAAACAAAGCACCCAGACAGCCACCGCTGTGTCCATGTGTGTGTGGCTGCTTGTGTGTTATCTCAGCGCGTGGTTCCAGTGTCGGCAGCGACAAACGAGTGAGTGATAACTGTAGTAAAAGTGTAGTAAACAGCCTGAGTGATGGCGGCTGTCTGCGGGGCCAATTGAGCGTGTGACATCAGCCGCAGCACATCAGCGGAGAAGCACAACGGTAATGACAACATCACCACGCAGCACGCTCAGGCTATCTGTTACCACTTAACAGCCGCTCCGCACACAAAGAAAATGAGCATATTGTCAGAGATGGGCATAAATCTGGCTTTCAGCTGCAGTTACTACCTGCAATTTCTCCAAAATCGCTCACAAGTCATGAAGGAAAATCAGTCTGCTTCAACGTGGGGGGAAGGTGAGATGTGTCTCCAGTCTGAAGAATTTCAAGCACTTGGATTTGGGTGTAGTTAGGAAGGTGAAAGGTCATAAGCTGCAATCCCCAGAGGGAGACAACAAAAACTGCTGTGCCTACAGGGAGAGACGCATATGAAATGCTAAAACACACACACACACGCGCACACACACACACACACACACACACACACACACACACACACACACACACACACACACACACACACACACACACGTTTGCGTGGCTATTTTTGTGGGGACTTTCCATTGACTTCCATTCATTTCTACAGCCTAAAACTTACCTTTGCCCTTTTCCTAACCCTCACCTACCTAACCCTAACTCTATCCAAAACTCAATTCATACCTTAAATCTGACCTCTGACCCAAAAACAGGGTTTCCCCTTGTGGGGCCCAGGTCCCGGTCCCCACAAGGAGCAATTGGTCCCCACAACGTAGTATATGTCAGGCAAATCGTCCCCACAAGGTATTGCAAACAAACGCACACACACACAAACACACACATGCAGATAAACAGTCTCAATAAACCACAAATCATTATAACATGGAGTCTGATAATGAGGTGGTCACCTTCCAAACACCAGTCCTCTCATGTCTCCCAGTCTCACCTCCCAGCCTCCCACTAGACTCGCTGACTGTGGAGGTCTCGTAATTAGACACAGGATCAGACACAAATACCTGAGATGGAGACTCATCTATCAATCTGGATGCAGAACGCAACTCAGATTAATATAGTTTAAATTTCTGGTTCTACAAATCTCATTAAGGTTCAAACACAGAGCAGCACTGTCTAGCTGTTTGCTTTTTACAGCATCAAAACAATGTTTCTGCAATATGCTCATATCGATAATATACTTCTGGTTGGATTTGTTCAATAAATGAAACATTTAAATGTTTGACAATCTTTGTAATTTATTTTTTTAATATTGCAAAAGAAAAGCAAACGTCTTGACATAATCTGGTTAAAATCAATTGCGCTAAAAGAGTCTATTAACCTTAATCAGATCATTTTCAACTTAATCTCCCCAGACCAGATATCATCCAGTTAGATTTGCAAAACTCTGATCTTTTTCTGATAAAAAAAAAAAAACAAACCTCTTCAGTGTGTAATCTGTCACTGAGTAAAGAAGACTCAAACTTGTCTACTTCTATCGTCAATGAAGGGTTGGAATTAAAGCTTATTTTGAAAGGAAACTAAATTTTCCATGACATTAAGATACGTTAGCAGTTTATATTGCAAAAGAGCAAAACTTTCAGTAGATGACATCAAGGCTGAAGGAAATTACAGCAAAGTTGCTATGAAACATGTAAATTTTTTAACATTTGCCATTCTTTTAGAAATATTAGATTTAAGGTAGGAGTTTACGACCTCAAGAAAATACACATGGAAACTGATGTTTTGTCCATTAAAACCCTGCTAGCTTCTGACATAAGATGCTAATGACAGTTGAAAATACCAGTTCTGTAATAAGTCTGTTTATATTCAAATACCAGGCACCAATTTTGACAGCAACCACTCTCTCATAATGTGAGGGTTATTTGTCTTATGATATAAAAGAAATTGCAGTCTTCTTACATCAGTAAGGTTAGAATAGAAATTGTTTCAATGATTTTCTTGTGTCTTATATTAAAGAATCAGTGAAGGAAAAGAAATCTGTGCCAAAGGTTTTTATTGGTGCATCTCTAGTCTAAAAATAAATATTTGAAAAGAATAAGAAATGTGTGTGGATACAGCTGATTTAAAAGCTAGTCTGAAAACTTCCTGAAGAGGTGCTTACAGCCAATAAACAGATCAGTAATAATAATAATTACTTATTCTATCTCTTTTATGTTCATCTAAGTTACTAATGAAGAAACTTGAGAAGAAACTTAAGTCATACTTGGTTGCAGCTTTACTCTTCTTAAGATATTGTAAAAAAATGTTTGATTGGCTGACAAATTGAATGTTTGTAGTAACAGATTTTTGAACATTAGTTGAATAGAAAGCTGTATTCCAGAATTATCCAATTAATGTTATTATCAATGAAGTTGAGACTGAAAGACTAAAACATATTAGGTATTTCCAAGGTTAAGGTTTTTATCCTCTTGTAAAAGGCATATTAAAGCATTAAAACTACTGGATGTGCACAAAAGAATCAATAAGGGCAAAAAACATATTTTTCTTTCTTATCTGAAAATCTTTCTCTCAAGACACAAGAAGAAATTGGATGATGTTGCTGTCACCATATGGCTTTCTGGGCAGATTCCTCTAAAAGCGAGTGTATAAATAACCACAGAAGATCAAATGTGTTTATTCTAAAGACACAGGGCACCAAGAGAAGAAATGCAGATTTTCTGAAACTGTCTTTTATTTTAAACAGACACCCAGATGATTGCTGCAAGTCTGACACTTGAGCTGGCTAACACCTACACAGCGTGACCCAAGTTCAAGTGTTTCTAGCTTGCTTTCTCAGCTCGGAGAAAGATACAAGAAGAGATGGAGAATGAGAGGAAGAGGGGGAGAGAGGCATTTAACCTCAAAGGGTCAGACCAAAAACAAAAAGCAGAAAAAAAAAATTCAGCAGGAACCCTTCGTCAGAGAAAACACACATGCACCCACACAGTTACATGAGCAGAGTCACACACACACACACACACATGCACGCGCACATGCACACACACGAGCTTAAAACCATAAACACTTAAGCTTAAAACACACACATACATGTTGTAAGAAAGCTGGCCACAGCTGCGCTCTCCTCTCGGGTGCCGCACTAACTGACGGCTAATCGATTAGTGCTTGGTGACCTCTGACCCTGCTGGCTTCCTGTCTGACAGATTACACCTCCGCAGTTCCACCATACTGTGTTCTGCTGCCTCTAACTCTTGGGGTGTGTTACATAGTTCAACATCACAAAAATACACACAGATAGCCATTATTTTTTATTCAAAACACCACATCCATGGGTACATAATGCATGTCATGTTACAAAGTGATGTGAAAATGTGCCCCCTTATGGGTTTCTTCTTCTTTGTCACATTAAAGTTTTCAAATTATTAAAAAAACAACAACTAAAAAACAAAAGTAATATCGGACAAAAATCAGCTGTGTAAAAACATAAGGCAGTTTTCAAATGATAATTTCTTAAGGTGATAAAGCTATTCAACCCAATCTGCCCCGATGGACAAAAACTAATTGGCCTCTTTAATCCAATTTAATGGTCGTACCACCCTGTGTGGCAACAGACAGTGTTTTAAATAACTGCCAATGAGTCTGTCAAATCGCTGTGAAGAGATTTTGACCCATTCTTCTTTGCCAAATTGTTTTAATTCAGCCATGTTGAAGGGTTTTCAAGCATGGATTGGCTTTTTACAGCCATGCATTTCAATGGGCTTTTCAGCCATTCTGAGATATACTTCCTGTTGCACTTGGATTATTGACATCCTGTAGAACAGTAGTGTGATTGAGCCTAGGGTCACAAAATGATGACCGGAGAGGATTTTCCTTTAGAGAGAATTAATGGAGTTGTCCGGTTCCTACATCAGCCCAGCCCATCACACTACTACCACCATGACTGGCTGTTAGTATGACAGGTGTTTTAAAATGCTGTGCTAGTTTTTTGTTTGTGAATGAAAACAAAGACTTCCACAGTATATTTTCTTGTTAATCTTAAAATGTCTTGAGGTAAAAGTGAAATGGTCCTCTGTGTTTGTTTTAGTCTGCAGTGATTTCAGCCTTGCAACTGTCGTAGTTCTTCTTTTTTCTAATTTTTAAACAATGAAATCCTGCAGTGCTCTAAATGTGATTTTAGATTCTTTTCTGACTTCCTAGATGAATTGCTGTTGTGCTTTTGGAATAATGTTTGTCGCCCGGCCTCTTCTGTGAAGGTTCTCCACTGTTTTTGCGCTTGTGGATTTTGGTTTCAGTGTGAGTCACTGATGTCCTGAAGACCTCAAAATAACTTTTCTACTTCCAGGTAAATAGATCTCAATGACTTTCATATTTATATACTTTTTTAGCCTATATGTTGTTAGGTTTTATTGTTAAGCAAATTCTTGAATCCACAAGTCTGAAAACAATCAAACGTGGGTAAAACTGAACTCCCAGAAAATGTGGTTATTCCTAATTAGTTCACTAGCTAACAAAGAGTGCAATTTATTTTCACAAATGAAATCTTCATCTCAAAACAATTTTATGTTTGTTCCTGTTACCTATTTCTAGTATTTTAGTGATCTGAAATATTTAAATGTGACAAAAAAAAAGCCATCAAAAATACTTTTTCAAAGCACCACATAAGTGAGCAGTGAGAGCTTTTGATTTCTTTTCTCTTTTTTCCCCCCAAATTGTTTGTTGTTGTTTGGGCGTGTGCTACATGTTGCTGTGGCGACACAGACAGTGTGCAGATCAGGCTCCTCGTTCTGGGAGGGGTGATGCAGTTGTGTGTGTTCGGAGGTCTATAACAATGCCCCTCTCTGTAGGACGCTGGTGCTTTCTTCCTGGTGCGCTCCACAGAGGAAACACTGCCACAACACACACACGCACACACACACACACACACGTCTACACACACACACACGCACACACAGATATTTTTACCTGTGTAGGTTGCAATGACTTCACCAGCTCACCCTACCAGCTCTAACAAAGGGAAATGAGACCCTGCTGCGGACTAATGCCCCCCACCACACACACACACACACAGGCACACACACACACACACAGGCACACACACACACACACACACACACACTGGTGAGAGCGTAGCAGTTGCAGACTCAGTCCGTTGGAACAGACAAGGTTAGCATTTTTATTCCGACATGGCTATTAATAATGAAATGATGCATGGCTGGCACATTTTTACTCCGCTCCCCGCCCCTCTCCGCTCCACCGCTCTCCTCTCCACTCCGCAACAAATTCCTCTTTACAGTTGCACAAACTTTCGTAGAGTAAGTAAACACACTCTCGCTCGGCCTCCTCAACCACCAGCTCACTTTGTGGTATGGGGAAAAATTCCCTCTCACGCTCTCCTTGGCGTGTCTGTCGAGGTGCGTGTGTATGTGTTTGCGTGTGCATGCGTGTGTGTGTGTGTGTGTGTGTGCGGAGTTTTTCCAGGTAGGCCAAATCTGTTTGCCTTTTAATGACAGCGCTTAAGATATTCACACACACCATCGGCAACCACCTATCATGAATGAGCCTCTGTGCTACTGTAGTGTATGTAAGTGTGTTTAAGCGTGAGGGTGTAATGGCTGTCGAGTAAAGAGAGTATTGTAGGACGGATATCTGTACTGGCTCCAGGACTGACTGCAGCCCTAATCCACACCAGGAGGTTATCTATCCATCAAATTAATGAACACATGCATGTGCCAAATGCTTCTTTCACTAAGTTTAACAACTGATTACATATTCACTCTGTGACCTAGTTTATCTGTAGTTGTGTTGATTAATCACTGAAATCACTCACTAAGTAGCTTAGCTAACAACATATAAACAATCTTAGCCTTTTAGTCTGTCATAGTGTACAAAAGGTATACATGAACCTTTTCAACTTTCTTTACTTTACAATCAGAAAATGCAATTTTATTTAAATTTTACATAAAAGATTAACAGAAAGTTGTGTAATACTTTAAAGCAGGAGTATTACACAACATTGCATTGGTATCTGGCTCCTCTGAGTGA